AAGATTGATAAACCACTAGCAAAACTCAAAAAGAGAAAACCCTAGTAAAACTAAATCAGAAATAAAAGGCAGAATGTAGCAACAAGATACCATAGAAATTCAAAGAATCAATCAGAGATTACTTTGAGAATATTTATTCCACAAAACAAGAGAACCTAGAAGAAATGGATAAATCCCTGGGTTCCTATAACTTTCCAAGACTGAATCAAAAACATTTTGAATACTTAAATAGACCTATCACTATGAAGGAAACTGAAATGGTAATCAAAAGTCTTCCCAAAAACATACTGGTGGAGGGAGGGTCACACTGGTAATGTTGGAACACTAAATGCTTGAAAGAACCGTATAATGAACAACTCTTTAAGTCACACTGTTAATAAAAATTATTTTAATTTTTTAATTTAAAAAAGTAACTTAAAAATAATTTAAAATCATAAAATAAAAACCACTAATTATTAAAAGAAAAAAAGTCCCCCCCCAAAACAGAAGCCCAGGTCCAGATGGATTCACTAGTGAATTCTTTCAAACCTTTAGAGGGCCTACTGCCAATCCTTTTAAAATTTCTCTAGGAAATTGAAGAAAGAGAAACACTCCCAGTTTCTATGAAGCAAACATCACCCTGATAGCAAAAGCAGAGACCGCACACACACACATACACATACACAGAGAAAGAGAGAGAGGAATTACAGGTTGTGCAAAGATCCTTAACAAAATATTAGCAAACAGAATCCAATAACTCATCAAAAAGATCATACATCATGACCAAGTAGGGCTCATCCCAGGGATGCAAGGATGGTTTAACATTCTTAAGCCAATCAACTTTATACATTATATCAATAAGAGAAAAAATTAAAACCATATGACCATTTTGATAGATGAAGAGAAAGCATTTGACAAGATTCAGCACCCATTCATGATAAAAACTCTCCACAAAACGAGAGTTGAAGGAACTGAACTTTCCTCAATATAGACACGAACCCAGAGCAAGCATTATTTTCAATGGGGAAAAAAATAAAAGCCTTCTCACTAAGATCAAGAACAAAACAAGGCTGCCCACTCTTGCCTCTCCTATTCAATATAATACTGGAAATACTTGCCAAAGCAATTAGGCAAGAAAAAAGTGTCAAGGTATCCATATAGGAAAGAAAGAAGTCAAGCTTTCACTATTTGCAGATGACTTGATACTAAATTTAGAAAACCCTAAAGACTCAATTAAAAAAAGCTCCTAGAAACAATATATATGTACAATAAAGTGGCAAGCTACAAAACCAATATATAGAAGTCTATGAACTCCTTATACACACACACCAAAAAAAAGATTTTAAGATTAAAGATATTTTTTAAACCTTGTACACAATTGTACCAAATACCAAAAACAGAGACACTACACACACATACACACACACACACACACACACACACACACACACACACACACTAAACTACCTTGAAAACAGCTTAGCTACATAGGTGAAGGACCTATACCAAAAAAAGCTACAAAACACTACCTCAAGGGAAAAAAATGAGGTAACAAGGAAATGGAAACATATCCCCTGCTCAAGATCTGGGAAGATTAATATCACCAAAATAGCAATACTCCCTAAATCATTATACAGATTTAATGTAGTGCCAATAAAGATACCGATGACATTTTTCAAAGACATAGATCAAACACTCCTGAAATTCATATGGAACAATAAACCTCCCAAAATAGCTAAGGCAATCCTTAGGGAAAAGTAGATGGTAGGTAGAGCACCTTTACTAACTTCAAACTGTACTACAAAGTAGCAGTAATTAAAATAGTGTGATACAGAAATAAAGACAGACTCTCAGATCAATGGAATATGTCCTGACACAGAGCCTCAAATAGTGAATCATTTAATCTTTGATAAAGAAGCAAAAATTATGAAGTTGACCGAGAAAACACTCTTTAACAAGTGGTACTTAGGGGGCTGGAATGATAGTACAGTGGGTAGGGCGTTTGCCTTGCACCCAATCAACCCGGGTTCAATTCCCAGCATCCCATAGGTTCCCTTGAGCACCACCAGGAGTGATTCCTGACTGCAAAGCCAGGAGTAACCCCTGTGCATCACCAGGTGTGACCAAAAAGCAAAAAAATAAAATAAATAAGCAAGTGGTACTTGGGAAAACTGGGCAGCTAGATGCAAAACATATGAACTCAGACCTCTAATGCCAGGCACTAAAGTTAGATCAAAATTGATTTAAGGCCTCAATATCAGACATGAAACCATAAAGTACAGAGAAAAAAATGTAGGAAGAACTCTCCATGACGTAGAAGCTAAAGACATCTTCAAGGATGAAACACCACTGACCAAGCAAGTGGTAGCAAAAATAAACAAACTGGATTACATTGAAAGCTTCTGTACCCCAAAGGACTAGGATACACAGACAGTCCACGGAATGGGGAAAATTATTTATCCAATACCCATCTCATAAGGAATTAATATCAAACATATCATTAATCACTTCATAAAAGCTCTTAAGATTTTTTTTAAACACATATTTCCCTTGCTATTTTCAATAGATTTTTCTATTTGATATTCTTCTTAATTTGTAGCAAACAAATCTGGCAGGGCTGGAGCGACAGCACAGTGGGTAAGGTGTTTGCCTTGCATGTGGCCAACCCGGGTTCAATTCCTCCACCCTTCTCGGAGAGTCTAGCAAGCTACCAAGAGTATCTCGCGCGTACAGCAAAGCCTGGCAAGCTCCCTGTGACGTACTGGATATGCCAAAAATAGTAACAACAAATCTCACAATTTGTTTTTAGATCTTACTGGTGCCTGCTTGAGCAAATCGATGAACAACAGGAGGACAGTGCTACAGTGCATATAGGCACTGGTAGAATTTTACAAGAAAAAAAAATCCCAGTCCATCAAAAAATTGGGGGAGAAGAAATGAACAGAAAGTTCCTCAAAAAAAATATATATATATAAATGGCCAAAAGGCAAGTGCAAAAATGTTCTACATCACTAATCATCATGGAGAGGCAAATCAAAACAATAATATGGAGATATCACCTCACACCAGAGACTGGCACACATCCAAATGAACAAGAACAATCAGTACTAGTCCAGTTGTGGGGAGAAAGGGACTTTTATTCATTGCTGGTGGGAATGCCGAATGGTCCGGCCTTTTTGGAAAACAATATGGGCATTCCTTAAAAAACTAGAAACTGAGCTTCCATATGACCCAGAACACCACTTCTAGGAATATACACTAGGGGCCCAAAATCACAATGCTGAAAAACCATCTGCACTCTTTATGTTCAGTGTGGCACTATTCACAATAGCCAGAATCTGGAAACAACCCTAGTGCCTGGGAATAGATGACTGAATAAAGAAATTATGGTACATCTATACAATTAGAATACTATGCAGCTGCCTGGAAAAATAAAGTCATGAAATTTGCTTATATATGGGTGGACCTGGAGAGTATCATGCTGAATAAAATGAATCAGAGGGAGAAGAATATACACAGAATGATTGCCCTCATTTACAGGATATAAAAAAAAAACATAGTATAAGAAAGATAGTAGAAATGAGGGCCAGGAGGACTGGTCCATGTTGGTAGCTTGCCACAACTGTGGGGGGTGAGGAGACTGTTAGGACAGAGAAAGGACCGCTACGAAAATGGACTGCTTTGAGAATGATAGTTGTAAATGGTCACTCTGGAAGAACTGAGTACTGAAAGGAGGTAAAAGGATATACATGATAACCTTTCAGTGCCTGTATTTCAGGAGAGAGGAGAGAAGAGTGAGAGAGGAGAGAGGAAGAGGGGAGGGGAGGGGAGTGGAGTGGAAGGGAGGGGAGGGGAGGAGAGGGGAGGGGAGGAGAGGGGAAAGGAGAATCTGACATAGAGGCAGGCTGCCGGTGGGGGATGAAAGAGGGGAAACTGGGAATATTTGTGGTGGAAAATGTACACTGGTAAAGGGACTGGTGTTGTAACATTGTATGACTGAAATCCAATCATGAACAGCTTTGTGACTGTGTATCTCTAAGTGATTCAATTAAAAAATAAGAAGAAAAAGAAACTTTCTTTTACAAAGTTATTACAAATTAAACAAACACAATTTGTTATACGAAATGTTAAGAATTAGAATAACAGAATGCAAATGTTCTTATTTAGATATTCCCTAATACATCTGCTTACGTAAAGAAAACTGCAATGCCTGCAGCACTCTTTACAATAGCCAGAAACTGGAAGAAACCTGAATGCCCAAGAACAGATGACTGGTTAAAGAAACTTTGGTACATCTACACAATGGAGTACTATGTAGCTCTTAGAAAAGATGAAGTCATGAAATTTACATACAAGTGGTACAATATGGAAAGTATCATGCTAAGCGAAATGAGTCAGAAAGAGAGGGATAGACATAGAAAGATTGCATTCATCTGGGGGATATAAAGTAACAAAGTATGAGATTAATACCCAAGAATAGCTGAGATCAGCACCAGGAGGATTACTCCATAACTTAGAGGCCAGCCGGGTATCCTAGAGGAAAGGGCTGTTCAGATAGAGAAGGGAGCACCAAATAAAGGATGTTTGGAGGATCCTCCCAGGAGGGGAGATGCATGTCGAAAGTAGACTATGGACTGAACATGTTTGCCACTCAATGCCTCTTTTGCAGACCACAACACCCAAAAGGAGAGAGAGAACACAGGGGATTGCCCTGCCACAGAGACAGGGGGGATGGGGGGATGGGGGTGGGAGGGATATTATCCATGGTGGTGGAAAATGGGCACTGGTGGAGGGATGGGTATCTGATCATTGTATAATTGAAACCAAAGCACAAAAAATTGTAAATCTACAACTTTAAAAAAAATAAAATAAAATAAAGGGAAAAAAAAAAGAAAAAAAAAAAGAAAACTACAATGCCAACTACTAAAACAGTTTTTCCTAAAGACCCAAATGAGGGTCAATACACACTAACATAGTACAGGAGGTCAAGTCAAAATTAAAAGACACAATCCAATCCATACCTGTTCTTTGAACTCTTGCTCTTTTAACTTTGAATCACTGACTAGAGTGGTCTTCTGTGCTAGTTGTGTCTGAAAGAAAAAAAAGTCAGATCTGAAATGTTCCATTGCCTGCCTTTTCATATATCCGAAATGCTTGATTTTCCTGGTTAAAATCTTATGTTTTAACTTAAAATACAAATTGCTCCTGAACATAACACCACCTTCATTCAAATTTGATGAAGAATTAGACTTACCTGGAGCTCCATAATTGTTACCTACAAATGGAAAAAGGGAAGTATGAGTATATGTAATACACAACAAAATGGAATCATCTGAAATTATAGTTGTCTCTTGAGAAGCAACAACTCTAAATAATTTTCTTTTAAACTTGGTCTATTTTGCTTTACAAACTATTATTGTAAATATGTGCGAGCGTAGGTAAACATGAAGCACACCATCTGGCTTCTCAAATGGGGATGCTGTTGGCATGGCCCAAGGAGAAAGGAAGGAAGCCACAGGGTAGATGGCCTATCTTACACAGGAGGAATTTTACTTAAACACTGGCATTATAAAATGTTTAGATATCCATGAATCCAAAGTCTCCAAAATGATCCCACTCTCTCTGCATCTAATCCGTTAACCAAGGAGAAAAACAGAAACTTTTTCTTGATGTTACCTAACTAAAAAATATTTTATGACTGTTCATAAGAATACTTGCTATAGAGCAAAGTACAATATTTAAATTTTTTTTCATGAAACATAAAATATAAAATGACTGCACTTTCTATGGACCATTTTCGATTCTGTCCCAGAGCTAAGAGATTCATTTTCCTTTGCTATGCTGTCCAAGGAAAAGACTGGGAAGCATGGGTATAACAGAAATGCCTAACCTCTGAAGATTGGCAGGCTGGGTTTAAACTCCCCATACATTTATTGGGTGAGCATCACCATTTCACCTCTTTCAACCTTTGTGTCACTGTCTATGACATGGAAGGAAAACTATCCTTTGTGAAATGTTCTATAAGAATCACAGGAAGTAAGGATGTAAGACAAACAATGGAAATAACACTATCTTAAGGTAATGATAAAGCACAGTTCCTCTCACTTTGTCATTGTCAGGATCTGCCTCTTCTTGCTGGAGCTTCTGCTGGTATTTCTCCTGCAGCTCCTCAAGCTGAGTCTGCAAGTCCAGCACTTTAGCAGTCATTTCTTCTTCACGAGCCTTTAGGATAAAGCAAATGTGTCAACAAATACTGCAGAAAAAAATGAATCAAAACATGGCATAGAGAAAATTACCTTTGAGGGAAAGCAAATGCATAAACATGCTTTAAGATACGAATCACATTTTTACTGTAATTCGTAACTATGCTCAAAACCCCTTCTTTCAGGCATAGCTTTTAACTCCAGGTTCTCTTAAATGCTGTCACCAGTCTGAGGAATATTATAGTCACCTTTATTCACTCTGTCCCACCCCATAGAGTTCCTCAACTCAGTTCTTTCCTTATGTAGGATCCTGAAGTATTAGCAACAGATTTAATGTGTAACAGTGCTACAGTTAACCTATAATACAGAACTTGTGTTTAAGATGTGAGAATTTTTTTCTTCATCTATATTAGGGTGTGATCTATAGGAAATAGTCATTCATCAAAAGTAGTATATATTTCTTTTTCTTTTCTTTTTTTTTTTTTTTGGCTTTGGAGCCAACCAGGAGTTGCTCAAGAGCTATTCCTAAATTGGTGCCCTGGAGGGTCACTCCTGACAATTCTGGAGACCATATGATGGCAGGAATTGAACCTGGGCGTCCCACCTGCAAGGCTATGCTCCAGTCTTTGAGATATTCTTATGCACAATGTTGTTCAACTGGCTGGCAATTTACTGATCCCAGTAGCTGTGGAGGATTTTTCTCAGCCTATCTATATGAGATGAGATTAGATTAGAATGGTAACTGTATAGATATCAAGAGATGGTTCTTTGTCCTAATCTATCAAACAAGCAATTCTCTAACATATCTGCCCCTAGACTATATCAGCATTTTCTTGGAGTGAAATATTCAACTAAATTCTGTTTCTGAAAAAAAGAAATTTAGCTACTGTCCAATGTATTGGGGGGAAAAGTCTCTATTTGCCCACAAGTTTATAGGAAATAAACAAGACTACAAAAGCAACATGTGACTCACTGGTTCAAAAGTCCTACTTAGAAAATTTAGCAAAGAATGGTTCAGATTTTCCATTAAATTTTTAATTATACTCTCATTTACTAAATTGCATACTTGTATGATTTATGTCAAGTTAATTTTAAAATGTGTTAGTATAAAATTCCTCGTAATACTAATTTTTAATATATATACCTAAAAAAGAAAAATACAATTTTTGAAAAAAATTCATCAACTTATCACTGATTTACAATTTTGTAGACATTCAGTTTAGCTTCTATTTATCTATATGTGTGTAGATGTCACTATCTCCACCAAAAAAAAATTCTTTTATATGTGGGATATAAAGAAACATAGTAAGGAAACAACAAATGGCTAAAGTCATGAGAACTCAGAATTTTTTTTTTATAGAACTGAGTTCACATGGAGGTAAGAAGTGGCTAGAAGGCAGCCTTGGGAAAATGGTGGGGAGAAGCAGACACTATGGTGTCTGAAGAGTGTGGTGCTGGGTTTATATATGGAAGAAAACCTTTAACAGTACTGTAAATCCTGGTGCTCCAAAACAGAGGTTAAAAAATTAAATAGGAAAATTGGCAAACAAAAGGCCCTCCCGTTGATCGTCGATTTGCTCGAGCGGGCCCAGTAACGTCTCCATTGGAGACTTTGTTGTTACTGTGTCTGGCATATCGAATACTCTCGGTAGCTTGCCGGGCTCTCCGAGAGGGGCGGAGGAATCGAACTCGGGTCGGCCATGTTGGCCGCTTGTAAGGCCAACGCCCTACCCGCGCGATAGCACAGCGGTAGGGCGTTTGCCTTGCACGCAGCCAACATGGCAAACAAAGCTTCAGTCTATTTGCTAAATAGAATAGCTTTATTCTACCTCCTAAAAGGCTGCTACCCACCCTTACTTTACACATTTGTCTTGGTAACTAGCAGGACTATTGTATAGAGCAGCCGAGCTCTCTCCTGGCTCTTACAAATACTGGAAAACCTTCCTCCGAAAAGAACACTTAGGGTTGGAATATTGATCAGATTTGAGTAGTGAAGAAAGGACAAATGCTTGCTGACTAAACCTCAAACAAGTATGTGATTTAACAGATGCTGACTTCCCAGAAGAAAGAAAATCTTTCAAAAACAAGGTAAGGCATAAACTAGAGGATGCTTAAACCAGGAAACACATAGAAAAATCTAACTTAAGTAGCTCTTGTCACAAAACTTCTCATCTTAGTCAAGGTATAAACATCTAGTAACTAAGCCTCCTCTGACATCTCCTGACACTTTAGCTTCCATCCCTAAAACAGCATTGATAAGAAACTAGTCTATGCATTACTGCCCGGGCTCCATTTACCGCTTTCGCTTTGCCCTTTCACATCAGGTGCAGATGCCTATGTCAAAGCGGTCTAGCGTTGCTTGACATAATCACTTGGATAACTATACGCAGCTATAGAGCTGTAGGTAAGAAATGTATTATAAGCTAAATAAGGCAGGAATATAAAAGTGTGCCCAGGCTTCATTCAGCAATTTAAAAAATAACAATGGGGGCTGGAGAGATAGCACAGTGGGTAAGGCGCTTGCCTTGCATTCAGTTGATCCGGGGTTTGATCCCCATCTGTCCTCTGAGCAATGGCAGGAGTGATTCCTGAGTCATAGATCCTGGAGTAAGCTCTGAGTTTAGTCCCAAAACAAACAACAAGTCACTGAATCATTTGAATGGATAAATGTAAATACAGCTATCCACGTCAACAAAATGAACCATAAACATAGTAGCTTTTCAAAGAGATTGACAAAAAAAATGAAATCCTATATAAACCTCCAATTTTGTCAATTTTCAAATGAGAGACTGGTATAAAATATATCTCTGAATCAAAAGAATATGGGGTTTGCTAAGAATAAACATATCCTTATAGCAATATTTGCATTTAAAATCTGTTTAAGACAGAGTCTGCATTTGTGGTGTTTACATGGGCTCTTCCTACGAAAATCACAAAGTCAGTCCCACACTTAAGTGGAAAGCATAAGGATGTCTGTCACATACTGCCCAATACAGCAGGCACTAGTCTTCCTGGCTATGAACTAGCTATGAACAATTGAAAAGTGGCTGGCCCAAAGAACAAATAGATAATTTTTATACTGACTACCCGATCAAAAGGGGTATAAAGGATTAGTTAATATATTATTTTTCAAATTAAGCCCACCTACTTCATTTCATTTTTCAAAAATGTGACTACTGGGAAAATGCATTTCATATTTGAGGCTGCATTCTATTTCTAAAGGTAGTGCTGGTCTAAAACACAGGAAGGGGCTTGAAAGAGAGTCTACCCAGTGCAGCTTGCCCACACTCTGCTTCCTGCTCACTTGGTTCACTAGCCTAAGCCTGAAGCATGGAGGGCCATTCCCTTCGTCTCCCTCCTCTATCCACACAGTAGATTTGTAAAGGAACCACAACACAGGTTAAGTGACTGCTCCCTTCCCCCCTCTCTAACTACAGAGGTCTGACACGGCCCTTGGCTGGCCAACCACAGGTACTCTATACTTTACCCATTCCTACAGAAAGGAAGTTCACAAAAGGGAACTCTATAGCTGTGGCACAATTTTACTCCTATAAAGTCCCTAACTTATTCATCCATGATAAATAGCAGTTTCTTTGCAAAGTTCCTTAAATAAATAAAACGTATGACATTTAGAAAGAACCTGCCACAATTCTACCAATAGTTTTAGGAAATAATTTACCTATGCAAAACTTCCTTTTCCTTGCACAAAACAAAACCCAGAAAATGAAACCAAATCAACTTTAATGGATTTTCTAATTCCAATATTTGCATTCAAGAAACAATAGTACTGTGGGCAGGAGCGGGGCGGTCTCTTAAAAGGTATGAAAGGGCCCCATTAACCAGACAGTTCACTGCTGGGTCCCTCAATACTAGGGACCATCAGTGCCACCCCAGCAATGCTTGAGGGTCTCCGGGGCTACACCAGGGAGACAGATGTTCAGGGGACCAGTAGGAAACAAACCAGGGCTAAACCCTAAGAAGATATGCACCCTAACCCCTATACTATCTCCTTGGCCGAAAATCACTAGGATGTATTAAAACTTCTCATTATGTATTTCATGGAAGTATAAGAAAATGTGAAAAATTCAACTCTTCTTTTTATACTGAGGTTTAAAGCTCTATAAATATATAAAGGAAATATTTATACTTAAGTGTCATATCCTGAAATTTCAGTATTTTCAATTACATTTAAAATAATTATTCAACTATTTCTTGGCTAAGACTTCTAGTCTGAATGACTACTCAGTTGAAGCATGATTCTCTGATTTATGTAATCTGAGCATGTAATGAAGTAAGGCTTGCAGTAACTAAAGAATCTGCAACCCAACCAAAAAAATATGTACAATATTTTATACTTGAAATGTTCTGAAGACCAAAATACTCACTAGCATTTATGGCATATATTCACACACACAAGTGACAATGCTAATCCACCACTAGTAGAGTAAGTAAAGAACTAATCCTTCCCTAAATATCAAAGATTTGGCTGATACTATACATTCTCCCTCCCCTTTTTTTCTCCTTTAGAAATAATGCAAAGTGGAGTAGAAACAGAGTAGTTAAGCGGGCCTCCAGGAAATGTTCCAGCTAAGTAACCGCATTCATACAAACACTGTCCCATTAGTAAGAACCCATCCAAGCTCTCAATTCTTAGTCCTATTCTCTCACAATTAAGTCCGACTCTGAGAAAGAGAGAGAAGACAACCTATTACTCCCCTAGGTAACTAGCTGCTGCTATAATAACCAACTGCCTGGTTAACAGAATCTGATTAGGAAATTATAATTTTTGGAGAAATCAATTAGACTCCATATAAATCTACATGCAGTATAGAAACAACAATTTGGGTAATGTTGAACCAAAATGAAAACCTTTCTACATTAGAAAAACAAAACCTGACAAAATAATTTTCTTTCAAATATTTCAAACTATTTATAAAGTCTAATACAGCTAAATACTGAGAGGGAGGAAGTGGTGGGGGAGAGAGAGAAAGAGAGAGAGAGGAGGAGGGAAGAAAAGGAGAAGGGAAAAATACGGTACATCAAGGATTTCTTCATATCTTCTGACTGTTCTTTGTAGATCGTCTTCTTTCTCTGCAATTTTTTTATGTAACTGATTTGTCTCTTCTTGATGGGTCTCCATAAGTTCAGCTTCCACTTCCTGGGCTTTATCTAATAAGTGAAAAATGGACACAAATAAGAAAGCACATTAGGTAAGAGTATCCATATCCCAATTTCAATAAAAATCCTTACTCAATTAAATTTAATTTAAAAACTTAAGTGACCCAATATAAGCTGACAGAAAGGAGTTTTATAAGGTAATTAATTAGTGCTTTCAGGTCTCTCACCTGTTCCTTCTCTTGCTAGGGCAAACCAGGTCATGTAGATTTCCATTAACAACTTTTATTGGGCAAGAATCATTTTTTCCCCTCCACTATAATTAAAGAACTCAACACAATGTGGAAAAAAAAAGTCTGAGTTATAGAGTCTCTGCTGATGATTCTGATGGGTTCTTCAATGCATTTAAATTTTACTTACCGATGGTTTCTTTTATGGTCATCTCCAGCTCATGTTCCTTTTGTGCCAGTTGTGTGTTAAACTCTCTCATTAGTTGTTTTAGTGTGGAATTGTGCTTCAACTCCAGATCTTCCTGCTCCTGTCTAAGTAACCAATACAACGGGTGTGAATCAGAAAGAAAAAAAAAAAAGGAATTAGCTGCTCTTGGACATGAAACACGAAGGTCTTTAAAACAATTTGTACCGTATAACCACTGATCAAAGAACAGTTTAAGAGTGTCTGTGAATGTATTTGGGTGCAGAAACCCCCTGAAAAGACAACCTATGATTCTCTCTGGGAGACTGTCCTCTGGGAGGGGACTGAGAATCCCTTCTCCCCCCACCCCACTTTTAAGTTTTCCGCCATATGCCTCTCTGATATGTAATAACAATGCAATATTAAATATATGTGTGTATGTATGTATTGTTTTATATCCATGGGTTGCTGGGGAATCAAACCCGTGTACAAGGCAAGCACCCTACCTACAATACTCTAACTCTGGTCCTAATAACCAAAGTTTTATTTTACTCTACTGAAATTCAATTTATATTCCAGATCTCTTAACTTTCATTTCATATTTCTGAAATCTGAGCTGCCTTCTGCACAGCGGTAGGGCATTTGCCTTGCATGAGCCAACATGGCTGACCCGTGTTCGATTCCTCCACCCCTCTCGGAGAGCCTAGCAAGCTACCGAGAGTATCTCACCCACACAGCAAAGCCTGGCAAACTACCCGTGATGTATTCGATATGCCAAACACAGTAACAACAAAGTCTCACAATGGAGATGTTACTGGGCCCGCTGGAGTAAATCAATAAACAATGGGAGGACAGTGACAGTGACAGTGAGCTGCCTTCTACAACCTTTACAGTAGTTTGGTTTGATTTTACAAGTCAAAGACTTGCTCTTCGGCAGCCCATTTTGCAAAGCAAGCACCCTGCCTGCTGTACGATCTCTCCAGTCCTGAAAAATAATATTTTAAAAACTCAAATAATTACTTGATTGTGAACCTAACAACCATAATCTTTCTACAAGAAAAGGTTTAACCTTTAATACTACTATATATGAAATACTACTTTAACCTTACACCATCTATTTCTCAATATTTAGCTCACTATATTTAATAGTTCATGTAAGAGAAAATTATATTAGGCACACAAAATGAATGCTTTAAAAAGTACTCACTTGATTCTCTCTTCCATTTCTTGTTCATGTTCTTTCTTTATTATATCCAATTCTTGCTGATGCTCCTTCCGCAACACTCGAAGATCTTTCTGCAATTTAACAATCTCCTTACCCAGTTTCTGCTTCTCTCGTTCTGCCCCTTCTAATTTAAACTCCAGGTCATTGTGCTCAGACTCTGTGTTACTGAGCAATCTGGGTTGGACCCCATGTGATTTGGACTTTTCATCAGCATTCGTTTCCAAGGTATTTGTGAATTTACTTGTTTCATCTATCTGCTGCTGTGTAGCCTGTAATTTTTCATATTTTGAGATCAGTTCTTCCACTTCAACTCTATGTGCTTCCTTCTCTCTTACTAAGCTTGAATCCAGCTCTTTAATCTTTTGCTCCAACATCTGACAGGTTAGTTCCTTCTCCTGGAGGATTTTCTGGACATCGTCATCCACATTTTCCAAGTTTTGCTTTGCTGTGTTATTTTTACCTCCCTCTTCTACTTGTTGAGATGCTTCCAAGGGATATGTGTTTTTTCCTTTAAGTTCTTCTTGAAGATGACTGATCATAACTTGATCCTCACGTTGCTTTGCTTCACTGTATTCGATCTTTTGTAAGAGCTCTTGGTATTTGCATTGCATTTCAGAATGAGAAGAAGTCATCTCTTCTCTTTCTTGCTCCAGTTTCTGCAATAGCTTTTCTTTTGCCATTAAATCTCTTTGTAAAACACTGACTTTTTCTTCACATGCCTTCTGCACACAGTCTTGGGAAGCTACCTCTTCCTGCTCAGCACATGCCAAATTATTTGCTGATCTGGGTACAACTGATGCTTCTGGCAGGGGTGAACTTTCTGTGGACTTGAGTTTTTCTTCCAAGATATGAATCTCATTCTCCCTTTCCTTCAGTTTTATGTGCAGCTCACTCAAACGGCTTTCTGCATCTTGTTTATACTGCTGTTCTTTCTCTTCCATCTGAGACAGTAACTGTTTCTTGATGGCAGCAATTTTCTGTTCAGCTTTTTTCTTCAGTTCTGCTAGTTTTGTAGCACTTTCTTGCTCAAGTCTATCTTCCAGTGCTTTTAATGCCTGTTCTTTACTCTTCATACTTGAATCCATACATTCTAATTCTTTCTTTGTAGTCTCCAGTTCAGCTTTCACAAAAGACACTTGCTTTTCCAGTCCTAAAACTTTTTCTTCAGCTTCTTTAACCCTGTTGTCCTTCTCTTCCCCTAACTCTTGCATGTGCTGAAGTTTCTGAGCCAGTTCATTCCGTTCAATGTCCTTTTGTTGGTTGTAATTCCTAAGAACTTCACTTAAGGACTCGATTTCACTTGTTTTCTGAGCAACATGTTCCTCTAATTCTGCAATTCTTGCTGTTTGAGTTTTTAACTCATTCTCTAAATTACTCTCCTTTTTTTCCAACTGGCTCTTCTTGTCTTCCATTTCACCCTTTAAACCTTCAAATGTCTTACTTTGCTGATCAAGGTCTGCCTTCAATGAAGTTATCTTCTCCTCCTTTTCACTGCCTTCCTTTGTTTTTAACTCAAGCTGCGTCTGCAATTCTTTAATAGTACTTTGATACTGTGTAAATTTTGACTGAGCTTTCTTCTTCCATTCTGAGAATTTGTTGGACAAATGATCCTCCCTTTCAAGAGCAGACATTTTCTCCTTACTCAAAGTTTCAGCTTTCAAAGATAAATCTTGCACCTGAACTTGTAATTCATGTTGTTCTTCATCGTATTGCTTTCTGAGAGATGAAATGGCCGCTTCTTTTTCAGTCAGGCTGATGCTATTCTCAAGCTGAGCATTCAAATCAGTTAACTGTTTACTCAGACTACTGATCTCCAACTTTTTCTCTGTAAGCTCTTCTTTCATCAAAGTGAGAGCATTGATGTTTTCAGCTAACTCTTTCTTCAGCTGCGTGATACAAGACTCCTTTTCTGAGGCGGCCTGCTGCTGATGGCCTCCTTCCATCTGTAGGGCTTCCTTTTCTGTGACAAGGCCTTCAATATCAGCCTTCAAGCTCCTAATTTGATTTTCTTTTTCTTCTAACTGACAGGAAGCCTGTTGAAAAGAACTATGGAGTGTACTCTGCTCTTCAGTTAGCCGGCTAAGCTGTGTTTCTAGTTCAGCAACTTTGCAAGTTTTCAATACTAGTACCTCCTTAACTTTAGCTGTGTGGTGCTGACAATGAGAAATTCTAGAGAGAAGAGCATTAATTTTACTGCTACTACTATTGATGAGTTCGTTTGTTTTGGTTTGTAAGAAGGCCTCGGATTTCTTAGCGTAAAGATCCAGCTGAATAGCGAGTTCCTCAGAAAGTTTTGCGAATTCCGAACTTTTCTCTTCCAGGCTTTTCTTACATCTTTCATGTGAAGATTTTAAACTCTGGAATTCTTCATCTGTAGTTTTCAACTTGTCAGTCAGCTCAGAAACCTTAAGTTTATCTTTTTCTGCTAGCATCTTTAGCTCAACTATACATTCCTGATGACAAGTATTCTCCTTCAGAGAATGATCCAAGTCAACTTCCAGCTTTTGAAGCTGTGCCTTCAGTTTAGTTTCATTTTCTGAGAGAGAATTCATATGAGCAGACTTCTGGTTTAACTGTTCTTGCAATTCCTTTACCTTTGTATCCTGTTTAATCCCTTCTTCCTTCAGCCATGCTATTTCCTTGTTCATCTCTTCTTTCTCACACCCAAACAGAAGTATCTTTTGCTTCAATTCGGCTACCTCTTGCTCTTTTTCCTGTAACTGAGTTTCATGGTTTTCCTGAAGTTCTTCAGCTTGCTGATTAAGTTTCTTTTCCCAGACTGATATGACATCATTGAGTTCTCGCCTATGCACCTCAGTAAGACTTTCTATTTGTTCCTTCTGGTTCGTTTCCAACTTTGACACAGCATCATTGATTCCAGCTGAGTTAGCCTGTGCCATTTCCAAAATTTTGGCATTGAACTGTTTTTCTTTCTGACTAAGCTCTAGAACGGTATTTTCAAGCTCCTTTTTAAGTTTTGCCTCCTGATCCAACAGTTTTTTCTTTAATGATTCTTGCATTTCTTTAGCTTTTTGCTTAATTTTTTCCATCTTTTTTTCTTGATTTTTCAATTTGGTTTCATATTCTTCATGCAAAACACTAATACTATCCTCCTTTGCTGACAGTTTCTGTTTGAGTATTTCAGTTTCTTTGCTTTGTCCTTCCTTCATTTGTAAAATTATATTTTCTTTTTCCATCAAGATTTGTTTTGTCTGTTGCTGTTCCACATTGTGATCTTTAAGCTGGGACTCATAGAGTTGGGTTAAAGATTTTACTTTTTCTTCCATTTCACTATTCTTCTTCTCAAGTTGCTGCATTAAGTCCTGTACCTGGATTTTGTGTGTGTCTAACTCAGTACAGACAACTTTTTTCTGTGTTTCAACCTCAGCTACCTGTTTGGTAAGAAGAGATTTTTCTGTTTCAAAGTCTAACAACTTCTGCTGCAACTGGGCTAACTGCTCCTCATATGTTTTTGCCTGCTCATGTGCAGTACTCTGGTGTGACTGACAAAGATCAAGCTTAGCAGATGCCTTTTGGAGTTCCCCTTCAGACCTTCTAATATCTGCCTCCAAGTTTTCCACATGAGCCTGATGCTCTTTTAGATGCTTGTCCTTTTCCTTCAGAAGAAGCCCAAGATGATTAATTTCATCTTTTAGTGCCTTCTCAGTTCTCTGGAAAGACATCTCTTGTTCTTTAATGATACTGTCAACTTGTTGCTGGTGGTGATTTTTCTGTTCATCTAATTTGGCTTCTAAGTCCTGCTTCACTTTATCTGCTTGGTCCTTTAGAACAGAAAGTTCCTCTTGTAGTTTATCACGAACTTTTAATACTTCTGAAAGTTCAGAAGACAACGATTCTAGTTCTGTTTGCTTCACATCAAGCTTTTCTAAAGTCTTTTCGTTCATCTCTGATATGTGGGCCTGGAAGAGAATCTCTTTGTCTTTCAACAATGTCTCTTTCTCTTGTTCATGCTTTTCCCTAAGCTTTTCCATTTCACTCTGATGCTGTTGCTCCATCTTTTGAAATTTTTCAGTCCACAGGTTATCCTGCTGGTGCTGTAGGCTTTCCAATTCTGTCTTGTGTTTTTCAATCATGATTGTGATTTCTTTATTGTGCTTATTTTTTTCAGCTTCCAAATGAACAGTCAAATCATCTGATTGATTTTTGCTCTCTTGCAGGCTTTTTTCCAAAGAACTTTCTAATTCAAGAATTCTCTGTTAATGAAAACAGATGTATTTTTGTTAAAAAACACATTTGTTTACTAGCAGTGATAGACATGGCATAATGTCTATACATACTGTAAAATTAAAATTTGAATAAATAAGTATGATATCATACCAAATATTAAACAGGACAAAGAATCTGTGCTTAGTTCCTAAAGGAATCATATAATAAAAAAAGAATCTATTCTTAACACAAATCATAATTCCAGAATTTTTTTCTATATATTTCAATGACATATTTTCAAAAATATTTTAAATGGTGAGCAAAATTAAAATAAAACATAAATAGATAATAGAAAGATGGGTATTTTTTCTATTCAGATTATAATAGCATTCTGTTATTTTAATAATTTTGAAAGAAAATGTGTCCGGTTTTTCTACACCAAAAATATTCAAGATTTTGTAAAAATGAAGGAATTTCTAGAAGAAGGAATGTAGCTCAGTCATGGAGCATATACATTGCATGTTTGGGGCCCTAGGGTCCAGGATCCCTCCATAAACATCACTCCCCCAAAAGAAGAAACTTTCTGTTTTTCCAAAGATTACCACTGTCTCATAAACATAACAATTCTGACTGAAATGAAAAAGGCAAAGACTAAGAATGTCGAATGTCAACTGGAAAGAACTTAATGTATCGCCAAATCCAATCTCATCATGTTATTGGTGAAGCAATGAAGCTGATTCCTTTGCCCCTTACTTACAAAGCTAGCAAGTGGAAGATCTAGACCTCCTGAGAACCAATTCCCTACCACCACGCCACTTAATGTGTAAGTGGGACACCAGACAATAAAACACAGTTTGGAATGGGTAAGAACTATGACTAGTTCATTATCTACGTGAGCTTAAAGGTAAAAATATAAACAGTAACCATTTATTCAAAACCGATGATTCATACAGTTCATATGCTGCTTCAAAGGGCCTTAAAAATGAAAACGTTTATGTAAAAGCAGGGCATCTGACTAACTTAAGTGTGATACAAAAAAAAATGATTATTTCCAGAACATGGTATGAGATGAAGCTGACAGCCAGGAAGGTGCCAGAGCAGGTTTTGCTTTCAAAATGAGGCCCCTTACTACACAGGGATGAATGAGTAACACAGTAGAATTGCACAGTCCAAGTACAAAGACAGAAACAGCCCGCTGTAGGCAGGTCTGGGGAAAATGAAGTACGTCTCAAAACCACTCTCCCGTCAATAGCTCTTACAACCTGAAAAGGAAGCGCGAATCTATCTCAAGCTATCCCATTCAAGCCATAGCTTCTGTACGACGTTACAGAGACACACCAGTAATTCCACAGATCTGGGACACAAATATTTAAACTTACAGTTCTGTAGGTTTCGGCTTCATGTTGAAGGTCCTGAAGTTTCTTTTCGCTCTCTGTGAGGATCGCTTTTTTCTGCAACTCTAACTCTTCCAGAGCCAGGGATTCTTGCTGTTCTTTCTCTTGGGTGATCTTCAAATACTCCGATCGACTTTTTTCCTGAGTGGCAAATCAATAATAGCATCTCAGACCCACTGACCTCTTCATGGGAGTGGTCTGCCCCTGAGTTAGAGGGAGGTGGTATCATCACTGCTCTGGTGCTCGCTCCACGTGAACAAGGCGCACCCTGTGCACTCTGGCCCACCTTTGCCACAAATACTACTGAGCTGCAAAATTTGGTTTCAGTAATCCCCACTGCAACTGCTGCTTTTCACCATTACAAATGTTTTGCAAAATAACACAGAAAATGAAGGATGACACAACAACTGCTCTCTTCTCTACACCAGAATCTTCAAGAAACTAGACTGCAAGGGTATAGGTCTTCTGATGCTTTATTTTAATCTAAATCAGCAGGCTACATGTCAATATATGGATTAGATCAAAGAATTATTTATTAAAGTGTGCATCACTCTTCAAATGACAGGCTCTGTTACCGCTCCATCAGTCCTGAAAAGCTTATCTGCTGTTATTATGTATCAACATTCATACTGAAATTTTTGAAGAGAATCTCCAGAGAGCACATTAAACACTTAGTAACTTTGTAGTCCAACTAAAATTAATTATCTAAATCTACTCCTTAGTATTACCATTGCCAACAGCAATATTTTCAAGTGAATATCTGCTTGAAGGGAAGATCTGTATAATTTATAATTGCTTATAATATATAGTTAAATATATGTATTAAAATCTACTTAAATATTATAAGCAGATTTATAAAAAAATTCATTTATATACCATCAATGTTAAAGCATCATTTTAAACACAATGTACTATAGACTATATTTAAAGATATCTCTATATGCTCATAAAAAATAAATGATGAAATTTCAATAATCTGCTGAATTGTGATGATCAATTCAAAATTAGCTTCTTTGTGAGATGAGTAAAGAGGGGAACAAAAGGGGTCAAACGCTTGTGTACACATGTCCATGGCCTGCCTGTGTTCATGTCCTGCGCTGAGTCTGTCAGCAATCCCTCAAACATGGTTTTAACAAAGCTACTGTTCACATCTCAGTTCTCCAAAGGCCAGTAACTCCAACATGAAAATCATCCACAGCCGGTCAACAGAAAATTCCCTGATTCAGCTGAAGAACCAGGGATATGACTCCAGTCAGAGCTCATGAACCTGTGCGCATCTGAACCTGGGTTCAAACCCTGTAGCTCTGAGTTTCCCTGTCTCCCCTACTATACATGGCCCTCAAGACACAATAGCAAGTAAAACCAAAGCCAAAAATCACTGCTGGGCCCAGAAACAGCTCCAAGGCAGAGTGCCTGCTTTGCACACTAACTGCGATCCCTGGCATTATCAAGTGTGTAAGCGCCACAACCAAGCGTGCAACCCCTAGAGCACTGCAACAATGACAGCAAAGCTCTTTGTTTAGTATTTATGCAGAATATTTAGAGATTATAAAAATATTCACAAGTAAACTTAATATAGTTTGAAATATTTTGACTATTCATACATCAATATATTTTGTCAGTTTGTTTTTGTTTTGGGGACACACCTAGTGGTGCTCAGGGCTTATTCTTGGCTCTGAGCTCAGTGATCACTTGTGGCCGACTTGGGATCATATGGGATGCCAAGGATAAAAGCCGGGTTGGCTGCATGCAAGGCAAGGGCCTTACCTACTATACTATCTCTCTGGCTCCCATAAATACATTTTTAACTAAACGTAAATATAAACTCTCCAGAGTTTAGCGAGAAAAGTATCTGCAAGCCTGAGGGACTCGATTTCCCAACACATCAATCCTGTGCCATTCAGGACTCTTGGCACAACAAAAAATCAATGCAATCTCCAGCACACTTCCAAGTGTGTGCAAACATCATAAAGAGTATATCTGAGCACCACAACGAAGTGTGCAACCCACAGTAAGTATGGCACCCAACATGCGGTACCCAACATCAACCTGGAGCAAAAACAAAATAGTACTCACAAGAGCTACTTTCATTTGCTCCTGAAGTTCCCTCTCTTGGGCCTGAAAGCTCTTGGTCAGTTCCTGTTCTTTGCTAACCAGCTCCTCTTCATGAAGCTTCCGTAGTTTTGCCACTTGTTCTGAGGATTTCTGAAAATCAAATAATTAAAATGAAACATCTAAAATAAACTATGTAACTTTACAAATAATAATAATGTATTAGTTGAATTACTGACCTAATAGTTTCTTTAGCAGAAAAATCAAAACACAACTCTCACACAAATCAAAAGTCACTGTCTTGGGGTCTGAGAATACAGGGCGTAATGCAAGCTGGTGGTGCATTCCACTGACCCTATTCAAATCCCCAGCACCACATGGGGGTCCCCAGGTTACCAACAGAGTCAGAAATAGCCCTTGAACACCTCAGGTTGTAGCCTAAAACTGAAAATCTAATCACAATTCTTGAAAGTCAAAAGAAAATCCATAAAGCATTGTTCCTCATGTAAGACAAGGAACACCACTTTTACAGGATTAATGCTTTGTTTTATGTGTCAAAGCATTTTTCCCCTATATCATGAACAACACGAAATAAGCCATGGTCTAAAATGCAAGTAAACTCTTTTATATATAAAGACAGCTAAAAAATCATTAACAATGAATTTCAAGATTGTTAAAGCTTACTTCAATCTAGAATAATCCTTACTTTTGTTACATTCACGACCTCCTGTTTCACCCGACTTAATTCCTGTTGAAGACTGAAACGTTCTTCCTCATTTGCTTTTTCAATAGCTTTTATCTGTTCATCCATTTCTGCCTTCATTTTCCTCCGTGCTTCTTCTGATTTTTGGGCTGTACTTAAGGCTTTTTCAAGTTCTTCAAAAGCTATAATGAAAACAGCACAAAACAAGTATCTCAAGAAATACTATCATTGAGCTAACGGATCGATTGTTCATACAGTTTACGAGAAACTAAGAGCAGCAGCAGCAAGACAGGTTAAAAAAAAAAAACTTATCATTGTTTTAAGCTAAGAGGTATTTCCAAGTAGCTCAACAAAGCCTAAGAAATGTCCAGTCACTACAGCCGATTTGTCTTTGAGTTCAGGATTAGAATCTTTAGAATGCTTACACAAACTGAAGCTTTGAAGTTTGAAATAAAAAAATCAAATCACTAACAGCTCCTCACACTACCCACAATATTCTTATGAGCAAAAAAAATCTTTCTTAAAATGAATATACTTGCTTCTGTACTATGTAACTCCAACTGCCTTTTTGCTTACTATGCAGTTCGTGAATACTATCAATAATGGGCATTATCAGTTACAAGGGCATTTAAGAAAATAAAAAATTCTTTGACTAATCTTGTTTTTTTTATTTCAACTACATAATAAAAGAGAAGATCTTTTTATTAATACTTACTAGCTAAGTCACAGTTTTAAACAATGTAATTTGAAAGAAAACCTGCTCTTAGGTAAGTGAAAATCTTTAACTGATTCAAGAATATATATAGAAAAGGCAATAGCAGCAAGAACTTATCAATCAAATGAAATACAAAATCAAGCCCTGCAGACAACTCACCTAGTCTATAGTAGAAAAACTTTTAAGAATCACTTGCCAGGCACCAACCAAAATCCATATAGAAAGGGTGCAACAAGTGGGTAACTGGGCACCAAAACAGGTATTGGTATATATTTGTATGCTTGTACATATGTGTATGCATGTGTAGGTATGGATTTGTACATGTGTGTATTATATATATGTATATATATATATATATGCTTGTTTGCATACACATATTCTCTTGCTGACACAATGATACCCTGTGAAAATCCTATTGCTCTTTGCATCCTGGATTCTCCACTTTAGTCCTCAGACTAAAAGCCACCAGACATCCCTTTTATCAGAGATGAAGTATTTTATCAAAACACCAGAGGTTTGGAGGCGGGTTGGGTTTTTTTGGTTTCTGTTGTTTTCCTTGTCTGTTTGGGGTTTGTATGGTTTGTTTTAGGGTGCACACCAGGTGGTGCTGAGGGCTTATTCCTGGCTCTGCACTAAGAGATCACTCCTGGCGGTGTACAGGGGACCATATGGGGTGTCGAGGATTGAATCCAGGCCAGTTGCGTGCTATTCAGACAGGGTTAAATGCCCTATCTGCTATACTATTGCTCTGGCCCCTGAGGATGGGTTTTTAATACTTACAAGAAGCATGCTGATGGATGCTTCTACCACTGTCATCTGTTCAGTTCTACCACTGTCATCAATATTATACAAATAGTACTTCCACTATCAGTGGCATAAAAAATATGGGTTCACCTGCAGCTTCCGGGAAAGAGAAAAAGGGAGAGGAAGTCCTCTTATTAACCACAATCTGATTACCAGATAAGGACTGGGCACAGAAATTAGACACTTGAAGAAAAAATCTGTTCTAAAGCATTTTCTTAATGACAAGATACGTTAGGTTATAGAACAAAGTCAAAAGAATGGCTGACTTATTTTGTTACTTTGTTCAATTTTGTTTTTGTTTTTGGGCCACACCCAGCAGAGCTCAGGACTTACTCCTGGCTCTGTGATCAGTGATCATTCCTGGTTGGGGTTCAGGGGACCATATGTGGTGCTGGGGATCAAATCCAGTCAGGAGCCTGCAAGGGAAGCACCTTACCCACTGTAACTAGTTGACCAGGCCCTGACTTTGCCCAATATTTTTAAAAAATAACCTCTGGAAACTTTATCTTTGATTTTTAAAAGATCTACCCAATTTATTCTTTTCATAAACCCAAAGAATAAGACACATATTCAAATAAGATTTAAATATCAAAGGAATGTAAATTAGCTGATGATATTTACCTATAAATATCAATTCTTAGACATAATTATATAGAGAGATCATTCAGTGGGTTAAGCACATGCTTATATGTGAGAGACCTGGGTGCCCAGTACCACATAATCACCCAAACACTGCTGGAGCAATCCCCAAGCAGCCAGCCAGGAGTGGCTTCTGAGCAGAGGCAGGTATGGACCCCAAACAATGTGTGTGTGTGTGCGCGCGCGCGCGTGTGTGTGTATGTGTGTATGTGTAAATGAAGTATTTAAAAAGAAATGTCTTTGTGTTATTCTTTTGCTATAAATTCCAGGGTAGAGCATTTAAAAAATCAGCTCTTGTATTAATAAATCAGTTCCCTAACTTCCTAAAAATAGGTAAAGTGATTCATTATGGAAAAGATATTCTATAATAGAACACATACCTCATATTTTATGTTCAAGATTTAAATATAGGGAAACTTTTTAAAAGACTGGTAACATTGTATAGTGCTAAGATGTCACCAACATCTGTTCTTCAGTATGTTAAATTGCATCTTAGCAGTTCTATTTTATACAACTATGTTAAATCAGATTCAAGAAAAACTAAACAGTTTTGATGATTTTCCAGAAAAGGTTTCTAATGAAAACCTTGTCAATTAAACAACACAAAATTGTTTATAGTGAAAATCAAGTGAGTTTCCTTCTCTTTATTTTTTTTAGTTCTAGTATTCGGTGAGATATAAAAATAAGAGGGCTAGAGAGATATAATACAGTGTTAAAGTGCTTGCCTTGCATCTGGCCAACTTGATTCAATCCCCAACACATGTAGTTTCTTTCCAAACAAACAGCAACAAAGTAGTTCTAATTGAAATATAATTTTCTAATAGTTTTCTAACTAAATCTTAGAGTACTAACCTATAGTTTAATTTTAGTGTTTATTGTACTGAAATCATTTTAAGTCACTTAATTATCCATGATGGAATAATTAAATCAGAATAGTGTCCCACAAGGTTTTTTTTTGTTTGTTTTTTATTTGGGGGCCACATTTGACAGTGCAAGGGTGACAGGGTTTTCACCTGGTGGTGCTTGGGGGGTGGAGTGGTGACGTAGGTGCCATGGATTGGCTTCTATATGCAAGGTTCTTAAGCGCCCTGGCCCTTTATCAGTTTTAACCTAAATATAATCCCCTCCTTCACTTCAGCCACTAACTCAGAGAATAACACTATTTTATACCTAAGGAAAAAACCCTTCAACCCTTTTAACTCAGCATCTTCATTCAAATGTGATAACTGAAATATCCAACTTTAGCCTTAGATGATAAATCATCTAAGATTATACAGGGCTAGTTATAGAAATTTATCATTGATTTAAAAATTCCTTACTTTGCCTTATCTTTTTTAAAAAAAAATGATGTTACTTAAGTTCAAGTAAGCAATAATAAATTTGGGGGCTGGAGAGAAGGTATAGTACTTTATACAGCTGGCCTGGGTTTAAACTTCAGCACCTCTAGGGTCGCTGGAGTCTGCCAGTAGCAATCCCCATACACACAGAGCCAGGAGTAAGCCCTGAGCACAATCAGTAAGGCTCAAAAGCCAAACAAACAAAAAAGTAATAATGTACCTTTCTAACCCCCAGTATCTGAGCCTGACAACTACTGATGATGAAATGCAACCAAACAAAAAACCTATCCCTGGCCATCCTGTTTCCTTAATGTTAAGTTTCGACCCCTCCCCCCACCATGCCCCGCCCCATAAAGGACATATCTACTGACATGTCCACAGAGACAAGCGCTTTTTCAAAACCAGTTTGAGTCCTACACTGCAGCCACAAACGACACCACTTCCTTTACTGAAGACTGTCCCATCAATGGTGCAGGAATATACAGTGAGAGTTTACTTACTGACTAGAAACGTCCTCCCTTCTGATCTTGCAACCACCAGACTCTGGAAGCTCCATCTACTAAGTGATGTGATTGTCCCAAGAGTAAATTCCCCAAGCTTTCTAAATGAAATGCCGTTACAACTGAACAATGATACTACACAGGAGTAAGTATGCTCTGAATGCCTAATTTATCTTGCAATTACTGACAAAGAGTATGTGAGTGGGGAGGAATAAAGCTGGGCCAGTCACAGCTGACAAGTCTTCTGCCAACATGCAGGGTGCATGGGGAACTACAGTCACAGCACACACCGAGACGCTAAGCACAAACTGCCGCCAAGTGTTGCAAGAACACATCCTGTGTTCTTCCAAAGCGAAATTCAATGTATCTCAGGCAACTCTTGTTTTAAAAAGAACACAGTGAAAAGATTTCTAGGAAAGTTTTATGAAAGCTAAAGCATGGTTCTGTCAGCTATGGTTAAAACAAGGAGGGGCTTTTATTAGCTCGTCACTTTCCAGTTCAAGACGACGTTCACTCATATCCTTGGGAATTTGGAAAATGGACAAAACACTTACTCTGAGGGTAAAATGAGAAAGGATGAAAAGCAGTAACTCAACAATCGCAACTCAACAATCTAACCTTCGGGGCAAAAGAGATGGTAGTGGAGGAGACAGTAAGAGGAGAGATGGTGATAGTGGAGAGATAGTGCACTTGCCTGGCACATGGCACACCCAGGTTTGACCCACAGCAACCCATATGGTCCCAAAGCCCAATGGGAATAATCTCTGAGCACCAAGTCAGGACTAAGCCCTGAGCACAGCTGTATGTGGCCCAAAAAGAAACACATTTTTTAAAAAATCTAATTATTCCTTCAGTAAAGATGTATATAGATTGTCTGCATTCCATTAGTAGATGTTAAAAAAAATGTATTTTTAAAAAAGATAGTAGGAAGGGCTGGAAAGGCAGAACAGCAGGAAGGGTGTTTGCCTTACAGAAGGCTGACCCTGTGTTTGCTCCCTGGCACCCCATATGGTTTCCAGGAGTGATCCTGAGTGCAGAGCCAAGAAGAAGCCTACAACACTGCAAGGTGTGACCAAAAAAATAATAAAAATAAGAATAATGAATAAATCACCATTGAAGTAACACTAGAAATACAAGATGGGAAAAGAAATAAGTAAACTAATCCTTGCATCAAGGTAAGAAGAATG